GGAATCGGGGGCGGCCCGCCTGCCGGGCTCGGTTTTATTGCGGGGAGCCGGACCAGCCGGTAAGGAATCAGGCACGGGGGGTTCGTGCAAGGCTCAGCTCTGGTTCCTCAGACGCGTTTTCCAACCCGGCTCTGCGGCACGATGCAATTTCCTTTCCAGATCAACCCCTCCTCTCCCCAGCCCCGAAAGAGACCCAGACCGGGCCTCAGAACAATCGCTGCCGTTGATTACAGCCCCTGACATTACCAGTCTGACTGGACAAGGGTGGCAGGGCTGGATAAATTGGATGTAACCCTTCCCGAAGGAAGAGCTGGGCCGGGTCCTTGGAGGGCTTCCTTTTCTGCCTGCAGTTAGCAGATGGGGGGAGATGCAGATGCCTACAAGCAGCTGGCTTGCCCCGTCACAAAGGCAACGCTTGAGTTTTTCTGGCCTATTCCCGCTGTCCAAGGACTGATTTCGGATCAGTAGAACCAGCTGGTGACAGAATCAGCTCCCCATCTCCATACCCGCCCTGTGATAACACAGAGGCACAAGGACCCAGGCATTGCAAGTCTCTACTTACCTACACTGTAAAATATAAAGCATTTCTACATTTGAGGAGATACAGCCCTTTGATCTCAGTGGTGCTTAAATCGGTGGTCACTAAATGGGGAAAGATAAACTGTGCCCGATTTTTAATCCTTCTTGTGTAACTGTTTTGAATGTGTAGTGCATGTAGCTATGGCAAGGCACTACCAAAAGATTTCAGGTTCAAAATGTGAAATTGTCATTTGGTCAGGTATATGTTCTAATTACAGCGCAGAAAATGCAGTAAGCACCGAGAAACAGAGTTCTGATAAAAGCTCTCATTGGGGTTTGTCCTCGCTGCGCAAATTCTGACATCAAAACCCCCTCTAACTAATTCATACAGCTGGGGAAGCGGTAGGAGGCAAGTCCAGAAGGATTTATTTCTCCTTTCCCGAAACTATACCAACCTCTCTTTTCCTCTATCTGAACTTCTCAAATTCAGTTCTATTTTAAAAGACACTTGTTTCACGCAGAGCTGCCTTCCCATCTGTAAATACATGGTATCCCTGCGCAACTGTTAAAAATGTTGCTGCTAGGAAAGTGCAACGTGTCATTTTGGCCACCACCTAATGCAACCTAGTACCCAGAAAGTGACCAGTAGCGTCACCTGGCCAGACACCTCTCGATACCACCAGCAACTGTGGCTTATCACTGTGGTCTGCAGATCACTGCTTGTTGGCCTCTGATCCGCGTGATTGGTAACTAAAGCACATGCAAAACTCAAAACTGGAGAAAGCTTATTACACATCTCACTTTGCCCCGTAAACTCAGAGGAACTACGTGAGTCCGTCGGAAACGCCAGGTTTCAGTCTATCCGGTTTGCTGGGTTTAAAATACCACGGCTATGCTGCAATATAACTAGTACTCGTAAGCTCGATGGGCAGTTATTGCTTTGGTATGGACGGCTGCTACACAAAACAGACGCAAGAGACTCGCATCGCAGAGATGGTATCTTCACCTTAATTTATGTAACTATTGATTATTGCTCTAAGCCCCTTCCCGTGTGAATGTGTGTATTTGTATACATAAGCACGCATGCACATATATACTATGCAGAAATAAGTTAAATTCACAATTCTGTCTGTCGTGCAGAATCATAAAGATACTGCATGTGAAAAGAGATTGTCCATTTGATCTCAAAGAAACAATAAAAGAAAAAATGGTTGATTTCAGTGGATAAAAGTAGGTAAATTTCCAGCTGCATCTGTTTCCGCAGTGCTACTGACAATGTTTTAAGTCATGGTGTTTTTTTCAGACCAAGACCCGCTTTAGTTCCACAAACCAACAGCTTTGCCGTCCCATTTAGATGTTATTGTATTTTATGGTTATTTTTACACATGATGAACTGGTTTTAATGCCTTAGTTTACTGTGATTTCAGTAGCTTTTTATTTATAGCATCAACATCTTTTTCATGAAACTGTTGATGTCATGTAGAGATTTTGAAAGTCTCAGGATAAAGACAGACAGCAGAAAACACAAGGAATTGAAAAGTTGGGAAAGACAGATCTGTAAAAGCAATAACTGTGATCTATGACGTGAATGTTGTAAAAGTTGTAAGTCTTTTAAGATGAGCTTGTTCCTCCTTCAGCTTATCTAAAAAAATTCACTCATGGTTTGTAAACCGTGGCTGCTCTGACTCTAACACGTGGGTGCAATTACAATTCCCTTTTGCTTTATTTAGCCATTTTACTCCTCTGCACAATACACAAAAAGGAAGGGGTGAGAACAGGGAAGAGGCTGCTGAATGATTTGCCATTTGCGTATAGACAGCTCCCCCTGAAAACCATACAATCACACTGTGTGTTGCATCCTTTAGGTCGAACACTGCTCTCTTCCCATCTGCTCTCTTTGCAAACTCCTCTTCTGCTAGCCTTTAACTAGACTGCAGGTACACTCGCAGTGCAAGCAGTGCTCAGGCAAAGACTCAATGACTGACAGTTCCTAGCCCTCAGAGATCACGGTTTCATGATCACAGAAGCAAAGGGATTTTTTTTAAGGGAAGGAGGCGGAGGAGAGGGGAGATGTCTTAACTAAAGCACATAGTTTAACAATAATCTTACCACTGGAGACGAAATTCGACACCCAGGGCAATCACAGATTGGAGGATGTACCTGTAAGATTCCTTTGGACATAAGAGTCTTCAAACTTTTCCCTGGATGCAGAAGAGAAGAAAAAGAAGAAGAAGAAGGATCAGCACCTTTATAAAAGGAATGTATTTAGGGAAGCGGGGGGGGGGGAAGCACGCGTCTCCTTCCATACAAACACCCCTCCCCTTGCCTGCCTGCCTACCAGCACCCCTCCCCCCCTCCACCTACCCCTTCATCGAACTTTCTCCCCTACAGATAACCGTGGAAAGGAGCACGGCGCAACCCTCGTTAGCCCCTGCCTAACCTTGGTACCAACGCTCCCGCAGCC